ACAAAAAATTCAAATGAAATGCATGTCTAACAAATTATGCACTGATTTGCATGTTCATGAGGGAAATAAGTATTTGATCCCCTTCACAAAACATGACTTAGTACTTGGTGGCAAATCCCTTGTTGGCAATTACAGAGGTCAGACGTTTCCTGTAGTGGGCCACTAGGTTTGCACACATCTCAGGAGGGATTTTGGCCCACTCCTCTTGGCAGATCCTCTCCAAGGCATTAAGGTTTGGTGGCTGACATTTGGAAACTCGAACTGTCAGCTCCCTCCACAGATTTTCAATCGGATTAAGGTCTGGAGGCTAGCTAGGCCACTCCAGGACCTTAATGTGCTTCTTCTTGAGCCACTCCTTTGTTGCCTTGGCCATGTGTTTTGGGTCATTGTCATGCTGGAACACCCATCCACGACCCATTTTCAATGCCCTGGCTGAGGGAAGAAGGTTCTCACCCAAGATTTGACGGTACAGTGCCCTATCCATCGTCCCTTTGATGCGGTGCAGTTTTCCTGTCCCCTTAGCAGAAAAACACCCCAAAAGCAGAATGTTTCCACCACCATGTTTGACCGTTGGGATGGTGTTCTTGGGGTCATAGGCAGCATTCCTCCTCCTCCAAACACGGCGAGTTGAGTTGATGCCAAACAGCTCGATTTTGGTTTCATCTGACCACAACACTTTCAACCAGTCCTCTGCATCATTCAGATGTTCAGTGGCAAACTTCAGATGGGCCTGGACATGTGCTTTCTTGAGCAGAGGGAACTTGCGGGCACTGCAGGATTTCAATCCTTGTCGGCGTGGTGTGTTACCAATTGTTTTCTTGGTGACTATGGTCCCAGCTGCCTGGAGATCATTGACAAGATCCTCACATGTAGTTCTGGGATGATTGCTCACTGTTCTCATGATTATTGACACTCCACAAGGTGAGATCTTGCATGGTGCACCAAATCTAGGGAGACTGATAGTTGTTTTGTGTTTCTTCCATTTGCAAATGATTGCACCAACTGTTGTCACCTTCTCACCAAGCTGTTTGGCGATAGTTTGGTAGACCAGTCCAGCCTTGTGTTGGTCTACAATCTTGTCCCTGACATCCTTGGACAGCTCTTTGGTCTTTGTCATGGTGGAAAGTTTGAAATCTGATTGTTTGATTGCTCCTGTGGACAGATGTCTTTTATACAGGCAACAAAATTAGATTAGCAGCACTCCCTTTAGGAGACTGCTTCTAATCTCAGCTTGTTACCTGTATGAAAGACACCTGGTGGCCAGAAATCCTGCTGAATGATAGGGGATCAAATACTTATTTCCCTTATAAACATGCAAATCAGTGCATAATTTGTTATACATGCATTTCTTTTGAATTTGTTGTTGCTATTCTGTCTCTCAGTGTTATAATACACCTACCATTCGATTTTTAGACTGATCATTTCTTTCAAAACAGCAGGGGATCAAATACTTATTTCCTTCACTGTACATAATGAATTTGAAAGGCTTATTTAGTTCTGTGCTTGTTGGTAAACCACACGTTTTACAGCATGTTAGCGCAGTGAATGTTAACTCATGAATCTGAGAGTGGTATAGTGCACCCCAGAGTACCATACCATGTGTGTTCTAAAACATTGCAATGCACAGATGTAAACCATCTGTGACTCGTAGCATGCCATGTTGGAAAAATTATGCATATCTGTTAAAATATGTATAATAATGTGTTTTCAGCCCATTGAAAAAGAAAGAGCTGCTTTAACACAGTGCCTTAACACACGTCAGCACATGCAGCAATGCAACACAACAGTCTGGTGTATCAGTGACTAGATCAGCTTGTGGTTATCCACTGTCCACAGACCAGGCCAGTACACTAGGAACCTTAAACCTAACTAAAACTTAACTAAAATAAAAACAAGAAAAATGAGTACAGACAGATAACATATGCAACAACATATCTTTCAAACTAACAACAAAACATATCTTTACATGTATTTTAAGAAGGATTTATTACTATGCTTTAACTTGGCAGTTTACCCTGTTTTTTTGAGATGTGCACTTTGTGCATTGACACAGATTCTCGCTAAATATTTATTACTTGTCATGGAAAGTATGAACAATTTTGCCTGCTGGCAAAGGTCCCTATGGGTCACTGGCTTCAAGTCATCTAGTAATTACATAACAGGTTTTGCATTCATTGTTTTTTACTTATTTAAAGTAATGCTACCTTCTTTAAACTGACAGAATAATATCAGCAAAAATGTTCCATGCTGAAGGCCATTTTTGTAACCGATAGCACATCAAACTTACATTGAAAATACATTTACAATTCTGCATGATCCATCATGGGCCACATTATTGTACTATCTTACTAAGAACTGAAGAAGTGCTCTTATACTGTACCTAGGTAGGTCTGTACCCACTAGCAAAAAGTAAATTACTTTGTATTAAGCTTTTGTAATAATGAATCCCCCCCCCATTTCTTTATTTTTAAAACCCCTACTTACTTGGTGGTGAGTTCTGCACTTTTCAGATACTCACCCACCCAGTGGATTCAGCCTTGTCCAGCTGAAATCCTTTTCTCTTCTGGCAGTGCTCTGTCCCACGCCTCCATGTTTTGTTGTGACCTTATCAAGTCCGGTTTAGCTGGCGCATATCCTGATGATTCCACGCTGGGCATGCCCCCTCCATCTTTACTGAATTAAAGGCTTTGTCTCCTGGGACGTGACATGCATATCTCAGGAGGCAAAATGAGGTGCAGGGGGGGGGGGGGGGGGGGGCGGGCCAATTTATTAAAAAAAAAGGGTAAACAATAAAAAAAAAAAAACAGTGCTGTCATGCACAGGATCGAAGGAGGGTTGGAAATCAGGGATCATGGTTTAGAGGGTGAAGATCCATTTTAATCCACACTGTAATCCAGCTGAAGAGTTCTGGAGATCTGTCTACTGATTGTTCAAAATACAGGCATACTGTATATGCCTGTATGTCCCCGGTGGGGGACATATATAGTGATTTAATTAATAAGTACACTATTCTAACTAAAGGTGACTGGTGTTAATAACAAAATTCAATATTTAGGTGAAATAACTAACGATATAGTCCATCATTGTGCAAAAAATGCAAATATGGGCAAAAAATCTTGTGCAAATTGCAAATATTTGTGCTTCAATTTCCACTCCAAATATTTTCAGTGCTTGTGGGACACTCAGGTGGAACACATATCCATAAGTGGCCAAAATGCCTCCTCACCTCCTTACCGCGACCACTAAGGGCCTCAAAGCTTTATACAGCAACCAATTCCATACCATGCGGCATCACATATAACTGGCTCCAATAGCTCCACTTAATCTCAGCTCTGGATCTCCCCTCAAATGGTGGTCCCCGCAGTATAGCTCATAGGTACATACCTTTAAACCAGATCCATAAAAAAGTAAGCAAGTAAGTAGGAGGTCTCTTCTGCTTACTTTTTTATGGCCCTGGTTTAATGGTATGTACCTATGAACTATACTGCGGGGACCACCATTTGAGGGGAGATCCAGAGCTGAGATTAAGTGGAGCTATTGCAGCCAGTTATATGTGATGCCGCATGGTGTGGAATTGGTTGCTGTATAAAGCTTTGAGGCCCTTAGTGGTCGCGGTAAGGAGGTGAGGAGGCATTTTGGCCACTTATGGATATGTGTTCCACCTGAGTGTCACACAAGCACTGAAAATATTTGGAGTGGAAATTGAAGCACAAATATTTGCAATTTGCACAAGATTTTTTGCACATATTTGCATTTATTGCACAATGATGGACTATATCGTTAGTTATTTCACCTAAATATTGAATTTTGTTATTAACACCAGTCACCTTTAGTTAGAGTAGTGTACTTATTAAATAAATCACTATATATGTCCCCCACTGGGACTGTGAGGGATTTGTATTGCACTTTATTTGGGATCAATTTTATGACATCACTTTATATGTTTGTTTGGTATTTATCAATAAATTGTTATTAGATATTTATAGCACTTATTAATTGGAGTGATTTTATTTATTTTATCACTTATATTATTCCTATTTTGTGTGGGGGTTCATCTGCACTGTATATAGGTCCACTTGTGGGACCAGTTTTTTTGCACATTGTCACTTTGGAATGTCACTTATGTAGCACTTTGAAGCACAATTTATTTACTGGTATTTATTTATAGCGCTTCACCATTTGTATTTATAAAATTTTTCTCAAAATTGTCGGCTTTTTTTTTTATAGCACAAAAACTAAAAAACACATAAGTGATCAAATACCACCAAAAGAAAGATGAATTAATGGGGAAAAAAGGACGTAAATTTCAGTTGGGTGCCGTGTTGCATGACCGCGCAATAAAGTAACGCAGTGCCGTAATGCAAAAAATGGCCTAGTCAGGAAGGGGCGTACATCCTCTGGAGGGCAAGTGGTTAACACTAACACTGTGTAAACACAGTTTGTTTTTATCTACAGGCAATGTAATTGCCTGTCTGTTGGTTCGCCTGCTAAAACTTCACTCTATAGCAGAGCTTCTGGCACCGATTCAGTTCAGCATTTTATTGACTTGAAGCACAATACTGTATTGCACACCTGAGGCAGTACATATTTTTATTGAATAAATGATTGGCAAGGCAAGTTTTCTTTTGACCTTTTCAAATATATCACTTTTCTCTGAAGGCACAGTTTGAGTGAAAAGTCCACAATTTCCATCGAGTATATCTATGTTTTCATGCAATTTTATGCTTAAGCTTACCATATTCACATACTTTAAGATTCTCACCAGAGAAGCAGCTGATATTGGTTGTAACGCAAGAAAAATGTTATCCCTTCAAATGTCTGATAAGGTAGAAGAAAAAGGGAAAAAGATAACATAAATGGCAAATTTGATATTATTTATAATTTATCCCTACATGTAAATATATATGGAAGTTCTTTGCCATGGCCATTTGTGATTTTATAAATAAAACTGTATTTTCTGCTAGTTATGTGTTACTGATTAAGTGTTTTCTTTTTTTTTAGGATGTGGACTTTTTATTGTCCTTTCTTCAGTCATCGCTGCTATAAGTGGACTGCTTGTTGGCTATGAGCTGGGTATTATCTCCGGGGCCCTTCTTCAGCTACATAGCCTATTGCATCTTAACTGTCAACAGCAAGAACTAGTAGTGAGTGCACTGTTGATTGGAGCACTTTTAGCATCACTGGTTGGAGGATTCCTTATAGACTATTATGGAAGGAGAATAGCAGTCATGGTTACGTCATGTTTACTTGGACTTGCCAATTTGCTGTTGATCACCGTTGTATCCTATGAAAGCCTCATTGCAGGACGCATTCTCATTGGCATTTCCATATCTTTATCTGCAATTGCTACCTGTGTTTATATTGCAGAAATTGCACCTCACCATAGAAGAGGCATGCTGGTGTCTCTAAATGAACTAATGATTGTAGTTGGCATACTGCTGGCCTACATTTCAAATTTTCTCTTTGCAACTGTTAGCAGTGGATGGCAATACATGTTTGGACTCATAATTCCTTTGGCTGCATTACAGGCATTTGCTATGTATTTTCTCCCTCCGAGTCCTCGTTTTTTAATCATGAAGGGACATGATGAGGCTGCTGGCAAAGTTCTTCAGAAACTAAGAGGAACCTCACAGACCAAGGAAGAGCTTACAGCTATCAAATCCTCCATAAAAGCAGAATACCAGTACAGTTTTCAGGACTTATTTTGCTCAAGGGACAACATGAGAGCCCGTCTGTTAATAGGCATAGCTCTCAGCTTCTTTGTTCAAATTACAGGGCAACCCAACATCTTATTTTATGCTTCTACTGTACTAAAGTCAGTTGGCTACCAGAGTGATGAAGCTGCTAGCCTAGCCTCAACAGGCATTGGAGTTGTCAAAGTAGTCAGTACAATCCCAGCAACATTTTTTGTAGACAGAATTGGAAGTAAGACTTTCCTCTGTATTGGGTCTGTTGTCATGGCAGCATCATTGGTTACAATGGGAATAATAAGTCTTAACATTGACATTAATTATAATAATATTTGTAAAACCAGCTCCTTTATAAACCAGTCCTTTGAGGATTCCTACATTTACAACATAGACATATTAACCAAAAACAATGAGTCTCTACAGAAAGAATTCAGTAAATTATCAAACAGAACATCTTTACCTCATTCTTCAGGAAATGAGACTGGAATGGACCAATGGACTACTCAGACAGGACCCAATGCCTCTGAAGAAGCTGTTGCGGCACAAGCACACGACGTACCAGTATTCATGAAGTGGTTGTATTTAGGCAGCCTTCTCATTTATGTAGCTGCATTTTCAATAGGTTTAGGACCAAGTAAGTGTTTTCGATTTCTTTTACTTTTCTAGTAGAAAAAAAAACAAGAAAAACATTTTCAGTCCCTGAGCCAGGATTCCTTATGTAGCCTCATATATAATTACAGACCTTTGTAGCTACATAGTTCTGTACAGCTCATGTAATTATCAGATTGTTTCTCCTTGACAAAATACATAGGACAGACATGGAAAAAAATATAAACTGTGAGAATCTGGCTACAGATCAAATTTATTCATAGGTTGTTTGCATGCTTTGCACTGTACACTACCCTTCCTATGCACATTTGCTCATCTTTGACTTTCATATATCATTTCTACCTTTAATGGCATATGTCAGTTTGCTTCTTGCTGGAACATACTTGTTTGATCCATGACTTTGTTTTTTATGTTAAGTTCCCGCTTTGTGATTCTTGTGCTTTTAAGCGTCTTTTCCTGTCATTTTTTGTCAGAGTCTGTTTTTTGTGGTTATGTTTAGTTCTTTGAGTGCTGGTTCACATATATGCGAATTGGATTCAGTTTGAACCACATCCAAAAACCGCATGACATGAAATAAAATTGCTTCCTATGATGGCTGTTCACATATGTCCTGTGTAGTGACATTGTGGATTCAGTGTGGATTGAAAAAGAGTCCTATCCAATTTCTGAGCAGTGCGGTCCAGTTCAGGTGCAGATTACAGGCTCATTGACTTCTATTGGGAACCGTTTCTGAATCGCACATGTCATGAATTTGTGAACTTGGTTTCAGGCTGGTTTTCTCTCTTCAAACCAGACCTGAACTACACCTGAACAGCTAAACAACTGCTTTTCAGTTTGCACTGAAACTGGAACTGTCAAGCCGCGCCGTACATATATGAATCAGCACTTAGTGTGTTCTGGCAACTTTCTCATCAAACACAAGCAGTTGTGTTGCTTCTGACACTGTGTGGTTGACTCTGATCTAGTGCCTTCAGTTTGCCTCCACTCTTGAGTGTCAAGGCTGTGTGCTTTCCTGCCAACTTTCTATTCCAGTGTAGGTGGTTTGGTTGTTTCTGTCTCTGCATGATTTTGTTTGACTTCCTTTTGATTTAGTCTTGGTGCTTGCTTCTATCCTTGAGTGTGTGTACTTTAACTCTCTGGTGTTCAGTCTGTTTTTCTGTCTCAAATGTGCCATTAGGGAGGGCCACAGCCTGGGATTGTCAGCCAATCTCCAGTTTCACCTCCAGGAGCTCTGGCAAAGACCCAACCCCTTCATGGTGAGCCATTCCACCCACTGTCGACACAAACTCTAGTCTTTGTTTCCTCAGTCTGTTTGTATATTATAGATGATAAGACTCTCAGTATTTCCTTAGAGCAGCCTTTCTCAATCTTTTTACCCGAGGAACCCTTGAAATTAATGTCAGTTTTTCAGGGAACCCCTGCTAAAAAGGATTAAATCTACAGCCCACAATACATTAGTGTGATTAATACACGTGTCCATGCTATCATTAGTGGTCAGTGTAGAAGTGACCCCTTACTTTGGTGGTTAGTGAAAGTGGGAGATCTACATTTGTGCTCAAAAGTTGCATACCGTGACAGAAATTGTGAAATTTTGGCATTGATATTGAAAATATGACTGATCATGCCAAAAAATGCTGTTATTGAAGGATGATGGTCATATGTAGCCATTTATTATCAAATAGTTGTTTGGCTCCTTTTTAAATCATAATGATAACAGAAATCACCCAAATGGCCCGGATCAAAAGTTTACATACCCTGGAATGTTTGTCCTTGGTACAGACACACAAGGTGACACACACGGGTTAAAATGACAATTAGAGGTTAATGTCCCACATCTGTGGCTTTTTAACCCCTTCACGCCTAAGGGTAAAACAAATCTAAATGCCTAAGCACAATTCTGCAACGTTGACATGTGTTAGTAAAACCGTACATATCGTCACAACTACTTTGTACATCCAGGTGGATTATACTGCGTTTTTTTCAGGACAAATTGGGCTTTCATTTGGTGGTAAATGGTAATGGATAGCTCCTAATTTTTTTTTTTTTATTAAAGGAAAACTGGGCCAAAATAGTAAAAAAAAAAATCATTTTTTTTTAAATTTAACTGTGTGTTTTCTTGTAACGACCATAACCTACCACCAAAGAACAACCCAAAATACATTCTCCAGTTCTTGACGATCGCAGCGATACCATATATGTGTATGTTATTTGTTGTTTGTACCCGTAGTACAGTCCAGAAACAATAGTGCGCATTTTGTTTTTGTCTTTTTTTTTTTTTTTTTACATAAAACACACTGTCACTGACATTGACATTAACACTAACTGACACTGATACCATTTTTTTTTAATCCTGACCTTTGACCCTTGCCCCTGACCTTTGACCCTGACCCAAACACTAACCCTGGTACTGAACTAGATCAAACCTTGATCTAGGCATTTTTCTTTATTTTCTATTTTATTTTTAATATTTTATTAATCTTTTTTTTTTTTTTTTTACAAACTTTTTTTTTATCTCTCTATGTCAGGAGTTCGAGAGATACAATGTATCTCTCTTCTCCATTCATAGAGAGAGAAAACAAGGGGGCCGGGCTGCACAGTGATTGATCACTGTGATAGCCAATCAGAGGCTATCACAGCGATCACGTGACCCGGAATCGGGAGTCCCGGGCCCCGATCGTTAGAACGGGACCCGGGGCTCTCAGTGACACCGCGGTCTTGGTGCTGGGAGTGCGCCAAGCGGCGCGCTCCCAGCACAAAGACAGGTACGCAAATATGCGGCCCCACGGAAAAAAGCACAGTTCCGTGAGGCCGCATATGTGTGTTACGTCGGCGTCAAGGGGTTAAATTGATATTAGTGTCAGTGTATAAATAGTCAATTAGTTTGTTAGCTCTTATGTGGAAGCACTGACTAGGCAAGATTCTTTCTGGCACCTCGACCAAACAGCTCATTTTTGATCAAGTATCACCGTATTGTACTCCTTAAAAACAACCACACCATCTTTTTCCAGAGCAGCCTGTATTTCTTTTGAGGTTGCCTATGGGTTTTTTTGAACCCCAGACAATTCTTCTGTCAGTTATGGCTGCAATCTTTCTTGGTCTACCTGACCTTGGCTTGGTATCAAGAGATCCCTGAATTTTCCATTTCTTAATAGGTGATTTAACTGTATTGATTGGCATATGCAAGGCTTTGGACATCTTTTTATGTCCTTTTCCATCTTTATAAAGTTCCATTACCTTGTTACGCAGGACTTTTGACAGTTCTTTTCTGATCCCCATGGCTCAGTATCTAGCCTAGTCAGTGCTTCCACGTAAGAGCTAAAAAACTCATCGACTATTTGTACACTGGCACTAATTGCAATTTAAAAAGCCACACATGTGGGACATAAACCTCGAATTGGCATTTTACCCTTTGTGTGTGTCACCTTGTGTGTCTGTACCAAGGCCAAACATTCCAGGGTATGTAAACTTTTGATCATGGCCATTTGCGTGATTTCTGTTATCATTATGATTTAAAAAGGAGCCAAACAACTATTTGATAATAAATGGCTTCATATGATCATCATCCTTCAATAACAGAGCATTTTATGGCTTGTCATATTTTCAATATCAATGCCAACATTTCACAATTTCTGCCAGGGTATGCAAACTTTTGAGCACAACTGTATCTACCATTGCTCCAACAAGCCCTAGCAATCTTAGGAGGAATCCTAGGGTTCTGTTGAACCCTGGCTGAGAAACACTATGCTGATTGACATATACTTTGTTTTGATAAGGATTACATACATTCTAGATTATGTACTAAGAGTGTCCAAGCTCTCTCATCCCAAGCAGCAATCTCTGACCAGTCCTGAATCCTGGCAAAAACAAAAGGCAGTCTAAATTCAACCAAATAGGAGCCACAACAATAAGAAAAAAAAAAAACACCGGGATGGAGGCTCTTTATCCAAGCACTGGTTTAAAAATATGAAAGCGGCGGTGTAGCTCTACATTTAGGGACTGCATTGATCAGTTCCTGGGTCTCAAAAACTACAACAAAGCACTTTTCTAGGAACACATGGTAGCACAATGCAACTTCAACAACAAGCTAAGATATCATTAGGATTATCTGTGAGTTGAGACAGGCAGCTCTGCACAGCCTTACCTTGGAGCAACAGATCAATGCAGTAGCAATCTATTGCTTGCCAATTTTACTGGCTGCTGGTTATTTTACTATGTGTACTGGCTACATGTTTCAATTAGCTGCACAGTTTTACAAGAGTATTTGCTGAACAGATCACTGAGAGTTGTAACCATTGTATTCCATGGGAGACTGCCAAAATCCGAACAGCCAAAAAATGAAACCTTCTGTTACAGAACAATTAGATCATTTGCTTGGAAATCACCTCACACAAAATACACTGACAGCTGATACACAAAAAATAACCTGATTTGCTTTTTCTGAAATCTTTGAACACACATTTTTTTAATCCATACACAATAAATAAAGGTCTAATTAAAAATTGAAAAGCAAAAGAAACAGATTTAAAGATGTAATGTGGTCCCAAAATTAAAGAATAAGGACCTACAAACAAGTGCTAAATAGGAGCACTTACTGTAGGTGCTCCATTAAAGGACATATATTTTGTACTTTCACAGACTGAACAGAAGGACACAACTACTATATAGCACTACTAAGCAGAAAGAACAGCTTTGTATAGGTGAGGAAATATGACTGCCCCATGTTCACATATACTGTAATCACAGACTAAAACGAATTGTTTAAATCAGTTGGATTACTTAGAAAAAAATATTAGACAACAGTTCCCTATTAGAATAAACTGGGACCACTGTATCCTCAAAAGTAAATGCTGCATCATTTTTGGGCATTTCCTTACCGCATCCAACACAGCAATAAATGCACAGACCAAGCATTTTCACACATACACTGAATATGTTTCTTTTCCCAGGTCCCTATATACTGTATATGTGACCTAAAACAGATGTTCTAAAGGTTTACTAATATACAATAAAAAGATGGCACCATATTTCACATTTAGTAAAGTGCAGACAGAGTTCCACTCTGCAGATCCTGAGATTAAAGAGTAAGGATTTTAACCTATTAAAACTAAGACATTGATTTTGGGTAAATAGATATTGCCTTGATTTTGATATTCTTCAGCTAGTTGGTGAACTATTATGTATTTCTGTGTTTTAGTGGCTTGGCTGGTGCAGAGTGAAATCTTTCCTGCGGGTATTAAAGGTCGGGCCTTTGCAATAACTAGTAGCATGAACTGGGGCATGAATCTCCTCATATCCTTGACCTTCCTTACACTCACTGGTAAGAGTTCTGAATAATTTTAAGCTTTTTAATTCCAAACACTGATGACAAATATATGGAAGCACAAAAAAAATAAAGGAGGTATTTAATAACAGTGGAGAAAACCCCATAGAAAGCATTCAGAAAGTTCATCTTGCACTGATCTGAAAATAGTAAAATTGTAATCTAACTGGTTGCCTTAGCTTTCTTTGATTTGATTTTGATTTAATTGAATAAGCCCGATTAACACTTGATAGATCTTCGATACAACTTTCATAGAATTAAAATAAATAGAAAGTCTATTTATGTACTAATTTCCCAATTAATGATGTATTCACTTATTACATAGTTACATAGTTAGTCTGGCTGAAAAAAAGACAAAAGTCCATCCAGTTCAACCATTATTGTATGCTATGAAAACAAATGTGTTGTGAACACTGATTTTTTTTGTTAATACAGTAACTGTGTTTGTTGCAGGCACACAACACGTCATTGAAAGCCACGTCATTTATTTCATATCAGAGATTATTCAAAATTCACACCCCTAATTTATTAACACTAAAACACATTTTAAATATTTAATTTTGATTTGATACAGTACAGTTTATTAAGTTCAAGGTCCTATCAAACACTTAGCTACACACCCAACAGACTGTATATGACGAAAACTGGATAAGAGAATCTGATTAAAGCAGCCAGTCTATTAGTCCACATAAGGTATCTGTATACAATGACATCGATTCAATAGGTAATACACATATACTTACAGGCAGGGTTTTTTTTTTCTCAGAGACCTGGTGCAGGAACTCAACATGTCCCCCCAAAACAACCCCCCCCCCCACACACACACACACGCACCAGCTAAGCAGCATCAAATAGTAGCGTGGCTAAATTTCACTAACAGTGGGAGGGTCTTAACCACTTCCTGTCCGGACACTTTTACCCCCTTCCTGTCCAGGGCAATTTTCAGCTTTCAGCGCTATCACACTTTGAATAACAATTGCGCGGTCACGCAATACTGTACCCATATGAATTGTTTACCATTTTTTTGAGACGGATAAAGCTTTATTTTGGTGGTATTTATTCACCGCTGGGATTTTTATTTTTTTTACTATGTAAATGAAAATGTCCAAAAATTTTGAAAAAAAAGTGTTTTTTTTATAAAATTTTGTAAATAAATAATATTTCATCATACATCTTCGCCAAAATTTATTCCGTTATTTTTTTAGTAAAAAAAAAAAAAAATCCAAAATAGTTTATAACCAAAAATTATAATTTTTAAACATTTTTTTTTACATTTTTATTTTATTTTTTTATATTATTTTTTATTTATTTATTTTTTTTTTTTAATACTGTCACCCTAGAAGTACAGTGTTACCATGGTGACACTGTACTACTTGTGGGGGTTGATGAAGATTTTTTTTTTTTTTTTTTACACTGATTGCTTTTACACCCATATAGGATGTAAAAGCAATCATTTCTCTTTCTCTCTGTCTGCATTCTTGCAGTCATTGAGAAGTATTGAGTGAGCTGTGATTGGTCACAGCTTGTCACATGGTACAAGACTGTTGTGAATAGCCTTGTACCATGTGACCTCTGTGATCATTCACAGATTTCACACGTAGTAAGCAATGATGTCAAGTGACATCTTGCTTACTACTTTGCATGGATCACTGATTGGCCAATCAGTGATCACATGATCGGGACCTCGTACAGAGGTCCCGTCCGACGATCGGTGTTTCACTGTGTCCTAAGTACACAGCGGGCACCGGATCGCGGTGCTGCGCGCGCTCCCAGGAAGCGCGCACAGCTAGAAAAGGCGGGTGCCGTTTCTGAACGGCAACCCGCCCCTGGACTGCCACCGCCCTGCCGTTTCTAAACAGCAGGCGGACGGCAAGGGGTTAAAGGATACGTTCACTTTAAAAAAAAATAATAAATTCCCTTTTTTTGCAGGTAAAAAATTGTGCATTAAGTATTTTTTTTTTGGAGGCTGGAAAGCATTGCACCTGTGATCAGCAGATCACTGGTTCCATGAAGGACTCCAGAAGCCTGTGAGTGTAAGCTGTCTGCTCCTACCTCGTAAGGGCAGACAGTTTTACACTGACAGGAAAACTCCATGAACTACCATGGCGCTCAACAGTGCCATGGTAGTTCACTGAGAACTACAAGCCGACATCCGCAAAGGATGTCAGTACTTGTAGTTCATTCATTCACAGAACTCTATCAGTGAATGATGTGGTTGAGTTGGAGGAGCCCTGCATGGCTGCGCGGTTTTCAAAAAATGACATTGGACTTCTCCCCATACTGCTGTCACAGGGAGAGAGGGCAGCGGGCAGAGGCTGTAGCAGTGGAAACATGTTACATATTCCACCCTAAAAACGGTTGGAATTTGTAACATGTCCCCAAAGGTGAACTTATCCTTTTAAAGGGCATTAAATACCAGAAGTAAATTATGTCCAGAGTGCAGAATTCAGGGGTGCGTTACACACACAGTGCAGAGTTCAAGGGTACACTACATACAGAGTGCTGAGTTTCAGGGGTGTGCTACGCACAGAGTGCAGTGTTCACGGGTGCACCACGTATAGAGTGCAGAGTTTAGGGGTGCGCTACATACAGAGTGCACTCCTCTTCCACAGCTGTTTACCTATGCATCCCTGATGGAGAACTCCCTTTTGTTCCTCTTCAACTCTGACCTCTGCACAGAACTCCCCTCCACTGGCCTCATCTTCTCCTCCACTCCTTAAAAGCTCCACCATCTTGCTGTATTAAGCTGAAGCACTCATTCAGCTCCAACACCTCTCCGCACACTGTAGGCAACTCCTCCTCTCTCACTTGAAGGGAGATCATCCAATGGGGACATTGGCATCTGGGAACCAGGGAAAAAAAGGAGATCACAATGGGTGCATCCCAGCACACAACCCCTCTCGCCCATGACTGCACTGCACCCTGGGCACTTGCATCTCCCTTGTCCCTGTCCTGCACTCAGTGGGATCTGCTCAGGAGATCTGATCTGTGGAAGCCGCTGGGAGACAAGCCATCACTGATAAACACAGAAGCCAGACTTCTGTGTTTACAAGTGATAGTGGTAAGCAGGGAGCAGAAGGTGGCCAGAGGTGGCGGAACTTTAATTTTCTAGTTATTTCATCAATGTCAGCTTAAACATTTTATTTAGCCAAATAATTTCTCTATGTAAAGCTGACTCAATTTTTTTGGGGAAAATCTTTACTGAAAAAACTTCACTTCATATTAATTTAGGAGCGTTATTTTAACGATGGAAGTATTACTGAATTGATAACATTTAATATTAGACATACAAAATTATAAATTCATTATTATAATATAGGATAGTAAGTATGTTACTGGTAGAATCAACAGGTGAAAATAAAGTAAAATACCTGAAAAAAAAACGAATGCAGCTACCACATCTAAGGGCTGGTATGTTGCAAAAAAGTATATTTTAGTTTTTTGGTTTAGAGACACTTTTAAAGTGTATATGAAAACAAAGCACATTGCATTAATATTTTCAGATATTTTCAAACGATTTTCACCAGTTTGAAATGATGGTAATTGTGTCTTTCTCTCTCCTTCATATGAACAGAGACTATTGGCTTGCCATGGATGATCTTCAGCTATGCTGTAATGAGCGTATTATCTGTTGTATTTGTTATAATGTTTGTTCCTAATACAAAGGGACGGTCACTAGAAGAAATATCTATGGAGCTGGCAAATAAGTAAGTGGATTTATCTGCTTGTCTGTTGTTTAATATTATGCTTGCAGGAGAAAGGAGAAACTCAGAAACGTCATATTTGTGCTGATAATCTTAACGATTCAACTGCTTGTAGCGGTTCATTCCTAAGTGATTAGAAGCACTTATGTCGCAGTTGCTCTTTATAGCATGCAGATATTTCACAGCATGGTTTAAAATTCTTGTACTTGCCTCTACCCAAGAAGAAAATAGAACAATCCCTACACAAGTGTGCACTACATCAAAAATGTGTCCAAAGAATACGGAATCACTCACCTATACCTACAATATACACATTCCAAAGCCAACTGACCCAATTAACATACCATTGTGTTTTGTTATTATGAAATGAAACCATTTGCTGAGGTACTGACATAAGTATTGTATGTAAGTCGACTGAGTTTTATCAAAACCCAGCTTATTCACAGCTCGGCAAATGGCCAAACAAGCTGGCTCGCCTGCCCCCCACCCTTCCCAAATCCTAAGTTGATGTTTGTAAACAATCATCAGCCGGGATCCATAATTTTGTAGTCTACTTCAGTAAAAATGAACGATCCCAGTAAAAGGCTTAGTGATGTCAACTTTGCTTCTAGTGTGTTTATTTCACTTTTTATTGCTGAGGATGGGGAAACTGTGGGGTCTGAGTGAATACACTGTAGGAATGCATGTTCTGTCCCTGGGCTTTTTTCCTAATAGATGATAATTTGACAAAACACATAAAATTGGGGGCAGAAAATAAGTGAGCTGTCTTTTAAAATGCTGAATGTTCAGGACATACTTAATCTCTGGATTTAATAAGGCTGTGTTACTGGTAGTAAGCTATGCCCACATCGCAAACGTTATTAATTTTATTTCAGGTCCTTATATAGCGCCGTCAATTTACGCAGTGCTTTACATATATATTGTACATCCACATCAGTCCCTAACCCCCAAGGGGCGTACAATCTAAGGTCCCTAACCTACATTCATACATACACATTATTATTATACAGGATTTATATAGCGCCAACAGTTTGCGCAGCGCTTTACAATATAAGGGAGACAGTACAATTACAATACATTTCAGTACAGAAGGAATAGGAGGGCCCTGCTTGTGGAGCTTACAATCTAATGGAAGGGGGAGGTGATAAAAAAGGTGATAACTGCGGGGGATGATCTGGCAGAGGTGATTCAAGTACAGTTCTTAGGTGGAGGTGGGGTAGGCTTCCCTGAAGAAGTGAGTTTTCAAAGATCGTCTAAAGGCAGACAGGGTGGGGGCTGACCAGACATGCTGTGGTAGGGAGTCCCAGAGGATGGGAGAGGCTCTGGAGAAGTCCTGGAGGCGAGCATGGGAGGAGGTGATGAGGGGAGCTAGAGAGGAGGATATCATGGGAGGAGTGGAGTTGGCGATTTGGGCGGTATCTGTGGATGAGGTTGGTGATTTAGCTAGGGGCAGTGTTGTGGTTGGCTTTGTATGCTGTGGTTAGTATTTTGAATTTTATACATTGGGTTAGTGGAAGCCAGTGGAGGGATTGGCAGAGAGAGGCAGCAGTCGCTGATCGGTTGGTAAGGTATATGAGTCTAGCAGCAGCATTTATAATAGACTGAAGGCGGGATAGCCTGTGTAATGGTAGACCAGTGAGGAGGGAGTTGCAGTAATCGAGGCGGGATATAATCAAGGCGTGGATGAGTTGTTTTGTGGTGTCATTGGTCAGGAAGGGGCGGATTTTGGAAATGTTCCGGAGGTTGAGGCGGCAGGATTTAGCCAGTGAGTGGATGTGGGGCCCAAAGGAGAGGTTAGAGTCTAGGATTACGCCTAGCACCCTGGCATGAGGGGAAGGACCAATGGTTGTGCTGTTGATCTTAATGGTAAAGTAATGAGTGGGGGATCGGGGAGGAGGAAATATTACAAGCTCAGTTTTTGAAAGATTGAGTTTAAGGTAGTGATGTGACATCCATGCTGATATGTCGCTTAGTAGATTTGTGATACGTGAGGAGATTGAGGGGGTGAGCTGGGGAGTGGAGAGATAGATCTGGGTGTCATCAGCATTGAGGTGGTATTGGAAGCCATGGGAGGTTATCAGTTGGCCCAGGGAGGAGGTATAGAGAGAGAAAAGGAGGGGCCCAAGGACAGAACCTTGGGATACCCCAACAGAAAGAGGAAGCAGAGCGGAGGAGGAGTTGTATGTGACAGTGAAAGTGCGCTGAGAAAGGTAAGAGGAGAACCAGGAGAGCGCAGATTCACAGAGGCCGATGGAGTGGAGTTTACTGAGGAGGAGCGGGTGGTTGACTGTCTCAAAGGCAGCGGAAAGGTCAAGGAGTATGAGTATGGAGTAATGGCCGTTGGTTTTAGCAGTTAGTAGGTCATTAGTGAGTTTTAGTAGGGCAGTTTCTGTGGAATGTTGTGGGCGGAAGCCAGACTGTCGGGGATCAAGAAGGTTGTTGTCGGTGAGGTAGCAGTTCATATGGTTGTGAACAAGGCGCTCGAGAAGTTTGGAGGCAAATGGGAGAAGGGAGATGGGTCTTAAGTTATTCAAACAGGTGGGGTCCAGCGAGGGTTTTTTGAGGATGGGGGTAACCAGTGCATGTTTGAGTGGGGAGGGAAAGGTGCCTATGGAGAGTGAGAGGTTGAAGATGTGGGTTAGAGAGTTTAAGATAGATATACTAGGGCCAATTTAGACAGTAGCCAATTTACCTACCAGCATGTCTTTGGAGTGCGGGAGGAAACTGGAGTACCCGGAGAAAACCCACGCAGGCACAGGGAGAACATGCAAACTCCAGGCAGGTGGTGCTGTGGTTGGGATTCGAAACAACGACCCTAGTACTGCCAGGCGGAAGTGCTAACCATTTAGCCACTGTGCTGCCCACGTTCCGTTCTAACGTTCTATTATTATGCAAATCTGACTAAAAGGGAATGGATATCTGAGACAGTAGGCAGGGCTTACTGTGACATCAAAGTCCCATCCACTGAGTGGGTGGGATCTAATCTGACAGCTGTCAGACACATAGAACATTCTGATGTCAGAAAATATTGTTTATATGGGTACATTTATTACCAAAAGCACATGTTTATACCCTGTATTATAGAACAATGGAAAAATAAATAGTTTTGGGTGTCATTATCTGTTTGTGTCAATGTTCCAGAGATTGCTGCAGTTATAATAGGACAGGATCTTAGATGGCTTAATTTATTGCTGGATAAGTCCATGGTTCAGAGCATTTTTCTAGTTGTTTTTCACCTTGCAGTTAACTGTGTGAAAAATTGGCAGTGACCTGCATACCTCCCTAGAATAATGAATCACTCTTATTTAATCAAAGTCATAGTCCACTAATTTTACAACACCCAGGAAGGTCATTGCCCTAAGTAGATCTATCAGGAGATGAAGTGTGAGTTATGTGCTCAGTAAACATTTATTGTTCTGCTAATACAATGTCAACAACAGTTCCTGGTGGCTGTAAGTGAAAAGCAACTTTCAATAGCAAGTAAATTATAATAGTTGTGATTATAAACAATACTGTATAATGAAAAGTGAGTATGAGGCTATGGTTTCAATTACAATATACTGCACTGTATTATTAAAGAATTATTTCTCCTATCACGTAAATAGAAGATATTGGGTCATCTAGCTCCAGTTGAGACATCTTTTCCAGAATTTCTACCTAATCTGAAGTATAAGGCTTCTTTTGCATGGGCCTTTAGCCATGGTGCAAATCCATTGTGCAATTCAAATGAAAAAAAAAAAAAAGGAACACAATAAGGGCTCTTTTACATGGGGCTGGGGGGCAGTAAAAGCAGGTGGGTTTACTGCCCCCTGGCTGCCCAGCCTGACAGGGCTGTACAAACAAAGCATCATGAGCATGGCATTTTCAACTTGGGTTGCAGAGCTTGAAAAGAAGCATGACCTGTTATGACTTGTCCATTGAGATCAATAGGGTTTCACTGCAACTACAAGCCAAATGTTTGCCATGTAGTTGAGGCACAGTCCCACAATGTAAAACGGCAACAAAAAAAAAGGCATCAGGAGGTGGCAGCTGTCTGTTATAGTGTGAACTCAGCCTTAAAGTGCTTGTAAAGCCTCAAGGTTTTTTACCATAATGTATTCTATGCATGAAGGTAAAAAAAACCTTCTCTGTGCAGCAGCTCCACAGCCCCCCTAATACCTACCTGAGCCCCATCTCAAACTAGTGATATGCACGAGAGCCTCAGATCTCCTGGGTCTCTCTCTCTCCTCATTGGCTGAGACAGCAGTGGGAACCTTTGGCTGGGGGAGTGTCAGCAGACAGACTATGGATATCAGGTATGCTGTGCATTGGCATGGCATGGCCTCCTGAAACTCAGATTGATTTATCCTTAAAGTGTTACTAAACCCAGGACCCTGCATTCACTCTATCTGGTCTCCCACAGTACACACAACATGGAAATGCAATTATTTTTAGTAAATATAAACTGCTAAATACCTTTTCTCATCAGCAGTTAGAGCAGTCTTGTGACTTCAGCAGAGCAATGGTTAAAGTTTGTAGGAGGAGTTTTATGTCTGCACTAGGAGGAGGTGAAACCCCTGACCCTCTGTCTGGACAATGCTGATTGGCCCTGTGCTGACCACATGCACTCTCCCAAGAAGAAAAAAAAAACCTCTCTAGCAATATACACCAAACTGAGCATGTGCATGTGACTACAGATTCAGTCTGTATCAGGTGGACATTTCACAAGAGGAGTGGCAGAGAAGAAATGATCAAACAGCCTTTTTACACAATGCAGAGGATTAACCCCTTAGGTTCCACAGTGAGTATAACAAGCATGCTTTACTGCATATACAGACTGATTTTACTGTTGTGGATTTAGTAACACTTTAAAATTTCAATATTTATAAGAGTATAGCCTAATTTTCTTTTTATGTTTTTCGGAATAAAAGCAGAGATACAGTATCTGAGCAAAATATTATCATAAGTTGACTTGTCCCTAAAATAAAGATTTAAAATAAGTGCAGCCTTGCAAAAAAAAAAACCCCA